GGGCGCTAGGGGAAACAGCGTCTCCCCCAAACCCTTCTGGTCCCCCCTAGTGAGTCTATAGACGGTCACCAGGTCCCCCCTCAGCCTTCTCTTGTGGAGGCTGAATAGGTTCAGGTCCTGCAGTCTCTCACTGTAGGGTCTGCCCTGTTGTCCCTGGATCATGCGGCTGGCCCTCCTCTGGACCCTCTCCATATTGTCCACATCCCTCGATTTTGTTCCTACCTTTCTTCAACTATGCTTCCTCAGGACAAGCAGGGGATTGTTTGATTAAAGTGGAGATGTGCCAAAAATATAAATAGGACAAATTCTCTGCTAACTGTGGATGTACTACAATGATGATAGGAACAATCTGAAGAATGTGCTAGGCTTGAATATCTTTTGTTATTTTTTTCAATGCACTGAGACCAAACATGGTCTGAGTCCTAGAATGCTCAGGGGCACAGAATCAGGGAAACACTCATTCTAATAGAGGAACTCAGTCAGCATTCCTGAAGGACTGAGATCATAAGCTGCCTGCATTTTTTGCTCCACACCCATTAGAATATGCCTCTTTGAACAGTTTAAATGGTACAAATAATAGCTGAAGAAGAGAATGAAGTATGATTGTATATATGGATTTCCCATCTTGTTTATGCATTCTGCAATCATTGTTCAGTTCTTCCAAGAATGTTGGCTAATGCTGTCTTTCAGCAATGCTCCCGTGGGAGGAATGGCAGTATCCTCAGTGCAGTCCTCTTTCAGCTGCAAGTCATTAGTTGATATTTTCTGGTTCTTTATTTTGTTTTTTGCATTACACTGATGACTATAGATCCCTGATAAGACCAAGACCACAACATGCTAAGTACTGTACAGACATGTGATAAATTTTGTGCCCCTAAAGCTTATCAGTCTAAACCAGTGGTGCTCACCCTTCTGGTCCTGTGGCCAGATGGGAGGTGCTGGGCTGGTCTGAAAGCCAGATCAAGCCCTGGAGCCCGGCACTGCCCCCTCCCTGCCCTGCACACCAGGATTGGTCGGGGGGGGGGCAGAACCACTCCCTCTTGCCCCCCACACACTGTGACTGGCTCTTGGAGGCCCAGGCTACCCTCATCCAGTTCTTGACTCTGGTATGTGATCCAGCCTGCAGAACTTCCTGTGGATCCAGAAGTTTGGCAGCAGGGGAGCAGTAGCTCAGAAACACTGAGCAAGTTCCCCCATGTTGCTAAGAAGCATTGTTGGAATAGTGCAAGGTAGATTATACTGATGCTGTCCCCAACACAGCTGTCCTTGTTCTGTGGTTAAATAAAGGATTTAGGTCTCTTGAACTGTCTAACACCTAAGAGTAATAAGTTTTTCACTGTATATATTCAAGTGCTAAATGCATATTAAATTGTCCCATTTGTCATGTTTTTCTAATGAAGAATGTGCTGTTGGTAACTAGGGTTAATGTTCAATCATGTTGATGCTACTTAGAAATTGTTCTAGGAATCTGTTATGTTTTGCACTGGAATTCAGTGTATTAACTTATTAGGTATTATAGCAAAGAACATTGTGTTCAGCTTACCTTAAAAGTGCTATTAAAAAGCAATCCTATCAGTACGGTGGTGGAGTGCATACCTCAGATTTTCAAGAATCAGAAAATGGGAACATTTATAATATTTAGAACTACAAAGTTTTACCACTGCAATTATTATTTCAAAGTATATCTTTGTTGTTTATATAAAGACTTAAGCATGCAATGTTGGGGCTAAAGAAAGGCTGTGCACTTAGCCAGCATATGCACTTATCCAAATTTAATGTAAGCCAGGGCTGTCCAACTTGTAAGTGGCCAGATGCCCCACATGGTGTGGGCTGTACAAGCAGGGGCTGTAAAAATTCAAGTACACGGGACCCACAGGCTGCACATACACCACTTGCTGCACCATATGTATGGGAAGCCACCCCCCAATACTGCTGCAACAAATGGGTGGCCCCTATCTCAACTCCTTTGCTGCAATATGCTGCGGGTTCCTCCAGCAGTTTGGGCCACACCTCCCTGCCCCTTAAATCGAGACCCTGGCTGACAGCAGCAGCCACATAGGAGCCCAGGGGTCTCATATTAAACTTACGTGGACCACATGCAGCCCCCAGGGTGCTAGTTGGATAGCCCTAATGTAAGCAATGCTGATTAAGTATACAGCACTGTATTATTAGCAGCCTTAAAATTGACTAGCTTACAATATTTTCAAGGCTTCCAATAGTAGATTTGGGAACTGTTATTAGAAGCCTTGAAAATGAGGGAAGATAGTAGCCATAAAATTGACCATATAGTGGCCATAAAATTGGTTCTTATTATTTTCAAGGCTTCTGGTAGCACCCCTTTGACAGCTGCTTCCTCTCCACTGTTTCTTTTTCAGTTAAAGGGAATATATTTAATTGCAAAATAGACAGTGGAGCTGAAAGATGCTATGCATATATGCATTTCCCTGATATGCAGATAATTGATGTTTGTTAGAGTGTAAGCAATAGGCAACAAATTGGTGTTTTCATTGTGCTATGTGATTAAGCAAATTATAAATTTATGTGGCATGCATAGAATTGCAACACATTGTATTAAGATAACGGAATGGGATTGTGCCTTTTGTCAGGAGGCTATAATCCACCAGATGTAAATTAATAAGTAATGAATAACTTGCTTCTATTTGAAATCAGTTGCTATACACCAAGAAATGCTCTTAACTTTTGTTTAAAACAAGGTGCAGCGAGTGAGTCAATCATGAAGGCGGTACTTGTACAAGTCTATTACAGTACAACCTAGTATTAAATTGTGCTCCAGGACATACCAAACATAGGCAAGGAAGTTAATTGTTGTAGCTTTCATACCCAAATAATTTTTTTCGTTTGTATCTGAATCCAAACTGATGTTAACAGTTTCTGTATTCAACTCTCTAATTATCCATAGCAACCCTTAATTATATCAGCAGTTGCTTAATTAAAGTATTCACCAAAAAGTGTTACATTTGAAAACCAAACCCTTACAAGTATTTAACTTCTAATGTGGACTGTTCCCTTCCTGCCCCACTTATTTTTGTGTGAACCTGCAACATTCCCCTCCATCCCCACTGCATTTGAATTTTCTATTGAGCATGTCCCAATGCAGTGTTTCAAAATACAGCTTGGATATTAATATCTGTTTACTGAATAATGAAGACAAAATAATAGGTCAGTTTTAAATTATATCAAACACTCCAGGGACAGTGAAATTATAATTGTTAATATAATTCAATGGTGCCTGTATTGCATTATGAAATATAGGGAAAAAACAGGTCACTGTCAATGTAGGGAGGAAAAGGCTGTTAGGAAGACAAATAATATGCCAGTGAATAACAATGTATATCCTATCTTTAGAGCATTCATGTGAAAAATGTAAAGAACAATGTTATATTTGGAGTTTGCTCATGTTTTCCTTCTTACAAAGCACTGACTGCAAGATTTTCCTAGCAGTTTAAAAATAAAATTATCTACTGAGTCGTGTCACCTCCAATTACCTTGTGTTTCTAAAGGAACTTAAAATAAACAGCCTGACATTTTTACTTAATTTCTCAGTAATTGATTGACGAGATCACTGCAGCCTTGCAGAAACTATGGTTGTTTCTGCAAAATGAGCTTGTAATATTGTGTTTGAATGGTAATGGGTTGTGATTGTGTGTGTGTAGTAGGGTGGTTGTTTTGGGTTTTGTGTTTTTTGTGGCAAAGTAACTGATTTACTTTTAATATTAAGATAATAAAGCACTGAATGGAAGTAGCTACAGCGTGAGCACTAAGTTGTGTACAGCTTTTTCTGTACCTTGAGTATGACTGTTAAATGTACTGTATAACCAATATGTATGCATTGGCTAGGGACAGACATTCAAAAAGCCAGAGCCTGAATTGATTAAAACATTGCAAGTTAGTCTAGCCTATCTAGGTTGAATCAGTTTGTAACAGTACAGACATTCCCTCTGGACTGAGGAACTGTGGGCACATGCCTGCAGTTGCTCAGGTCAAGTGCTAAGGAGTGCTAGAGTGCGCCCTCAGCTGCAGGGAAGCTGTGCTGGGGGCATGACCAGCCAGGGCTGAGCTTGCCAGAGAGAGATTTAATTCCCCCCTCCCTGTCCCACCGACACGGACCTGAGCCAGGTCTGCTGTGGTGCTCACCCATTGCTGCTGCAGCGGTGGACCACCATGGCCCCTGAGGCAGAGGGGGCAGGGAGGGGAGTTATTCCACCCCATCTATCCTGGGAGACCACAGCCGAGTCTACCCACCCTGACTGCCGCCGTCACCGCTCACTCCCTGCTTGGGGCAAGCAGCAGAATAAGCCCCCTCCTGTCCCCTCTGCCAGACACCGGAGGGAGAGGGAATAACCTCTGTCTCTGTCCTTGCCTAAGGGGCTCTGCTGGTCCGCATCTGGCCACACCCCCACCTGGCCACTGCAACGGCAAGGGGCAGGGCCCTAGATGGGGCAGCAGCTCCTGTCTCAGTGTTGGGGAGCACAAGCCTCTTCCCAATGCGGGGGCCTTGCTGTGCGGCAGGCAGGGCCGTGGCAGACACCACGCAGCAGCACCGGGGTTTGGAGAGGGCCAGACCTTT